TGTATTAAATAATACTTAATAAAATGTAGGCTAATTAATACTCCTATCGATTTTTCTCAAGGGGACCTAACACTTTTGTCATCTCCCTCTCCCATAAGCCGCCCTCAAAGTGAAGAGAAACCCTAGAAAATCCAGATCGAGAGAGAAATTTGAAACCCCCAATCACGAAGTTCCAACGATGACACGAAGTTTTGATGAGAAGAAATCTGTTCATACCTGCAAAGAGGAAAGCTTTGTGATCAAGCAATCAAAGAAAAGAAAACGGCATCATCACGCAATAAGAATTCACTTAGCAGATGAAATTACTACAAACATCCTTAGCAGATTACCCGTGCAGTCTCTTCTTCGATTTAAATGTATTTCAAAATTTTGAAACACGTTAATCTCTGACCCTTACTTTAACATGAAGCATCAGAGTCATAATTCTGAAAAGCTTCTTTTTGGCCAATGGTGCATGGATACACCTAATATATTTAATTTCTATTCTTCTCGTTTATCATCGGTTCAACTAGTTGAGGACGATGTAGAAAAACTTGTTTCTCCTTCAAACTATAAACCGGCAATTAGGTACAGAGTGTATTCTTCTTGCAATGGGTTGGTTCTTCTATCAATTGCCGAAGACCTTTTGATTTAATTTGGAACCTTTCTACAAGAGAATCAATACGAATTTCACATTTAGAAAGACAGAGTACATTTCTTACTTATGGATTCGGATATGACACAATTAGTAATGACTACAAGATCCTTAAGTTTAACTATCCTAACATGGAAATTCTACCACTAAAAAGTGGATTATGGAGAAAAATAAGTTATTGTGGACGAGACTTATTACCGATATTGTGTAACGCTCTTATGGATCCTTTAACATTTCTACATGGAGCATTTCATTGGGTAGGTAATTTCCAAGAATTTTTTTTTTTTGTAGTTTCATTTAGTATTTCAAATGAGGGAGAGATACAATTGCTAGAGCCAATGAGGAAAATATTCACTCATCATGATGTCAAATATGGAGTTACAGTATTAAGAAGACTGCTTTGTGTTTATTACGCGGAGAACACTACTTGTAAGTTATGGGTAATGAAGGACTATGGTGTCGAAGAATCTTGGATTCAATTTTATACGATACAAGATACTTTTTTTATTTTAAATAGACCGCTATATATGTTTGATGATGGTGAAGTTCTACTCAGCTATAGGCATATGGGTTATGTAGGATATCGATTTAGGACATCCAAAGGACCATTTGGATTATGGCCTGAATTCAATACCATTCTACAAGGAATTACTTACCCAGAAAGCATAATTTCTCCAAAATTACTTATTTAGTGTTTGCTTATGTATTATCAAGACACTTTTTACTTTTTTTAAAAAAAAATATTAGTCTTTTGCCCCATGTACTATATCTTTAACCTCATATTTAAGGTATATAAAAGGGTATTATTCATAGTAACGAAATTGTTTTACTAAATGTTTACATATAAAATCTATATTTTTTAACTAATTAGATATATGTAATATCAAGTAAATATAATTTAATTTAGCTTTGAAAATTAATCAAATTAACTCACGAGATGTAAGTCAACTACACTTCTATTTTTGTCAGGAAAAACGAAATATAATCTTATTTTTGTCAAATATCTATTCCATTATTGTCAACTACACCTCTAATTTTTTTAATGAAACTTACCTTGCATATAACATTATAACTTCCTTTCTTCTATGTTAGTGAAATAAAGGAATACTCCATTTTTGTATTGAAAAGTACATACCCTTTAAACGCTGAATTATTATTTTAAAATGTAAAAATAAATAAAATGAGGGGGGAACAAAAATAGAAGGAAAAAAAAGGTTTAATGGAAGAGATTACACTTTTGAATAGAACATTTTCTTGATTCACAGTGACCTTTATAGTTATATAAATCGGTCTCTCATGAGAGAGTCAACAATTAAAGAATAGATTCACTGTTCATCATTTTAACTTTATATTTCGTGGCCTATCAAATAACGTGTAAATCATGAAACACATTTAATAATTTTTATATGATTTAGAGAAATTCATAATAATTAACATGAACTACAAGTGCTTGCAACACAATACTAATATCATAAGTACCAAATATGAAGAATGTTATCATACGAAAAAAAATAATCCTAATAATTAATCATGAAAAGACTAGTACTTGAAGAAATCCTAGCTAATCCTAGCTATTATTAAATCAAAGAAGGAAACAACATTTTCAAATCTTTTATAAATAAGACATAAAATTAAAAAAAGTTTGAGAAGAAGTAGAAAATCATAATTTCTAGTGCTTGGAAAACCTAAAATCTTCTTGTTTGAGGACAAAATAATCCTGTGCACCATCTTTAATTGCTACTTTCTCCCTCAATACCACATTCACATTCAACTCTCCCGTTGATGCCTTATTTTTACAAATCTTAAGACTTGTGTTCTTATTATTCTCACAAGGAATAAGAGATTTTTCTTCTTCTGAACGTAATTCACTACTCTTGAGTCGAGTCTCCAATTTGTACGTTGTCATTCCTATTAAAGAATTCGAAAAAAATTTACGTGCCTTAAACACCTCGAAACGAAGAGAATTTACCCTTTCTGTTGGATCAATAGTGATTACCCACCTATTTGTGCCCCATATAACATTGTTGGAATATTTGATATTTGTAGATGGGAATGTCACCAATGCGTTGCGCTTTATCGGACCTTCTCCTTCGATGAAAACTTTCACGTAGAATGTTCCCTTCTTTTTTTTATTAAAAGAAGCAAATTCTACGGTCAACAACATTAATATATTATCACTAGCATGTGTGTTTTTCTCCATGATAGTAATAAATAAAAATTATATAACCCCACGCTACAAACCAAGCAAGAAAAGTGATTTAATTCTTAGATGCATCTAATATATATATACTCCACATGAAATGGATGATTTTATTATGTTTAAATAATGAGGATTTCCCGGAGAAAATATCTCTTTGATCAACAAAGTCAATACTCAATAGAGAGAGGATTCCTAGTTCTATGGATAGGGATATGATAATTCTGTATTTTATTCCGAGATTAAAGTAACAAAATCTGTTTTTTTTTATTTAATAAATAATTCACCTAATTTATTTTATTTTTTATTAGCTTGATTTACTTTAATTTGTCAAATTTAGTATATATAAATTTTGATTTATGATTTCTTATCAAAATCATATTATTTTGCCTTAGTCATTAATGTAATAGGTTGAGATTTGAATCTAATATTTTATCAATAGTCTTACCCTTAATCATTGGAATAATATGCCAAAGTGCACCAAAATTCACTCCGGAGCTTTTAAAAATAATATCACCTTTAGTGATTATATTATATATAATTTTGATGATTATAAGCCCTAAATAATTCAATTGTTAACTTCAAAATGAATGAAAATACTGAGAAGCTTAAACCTATCCAATTAATTATCGTAAAAGTTGTATAAAATGAATGTAAATGAAAGTACAATATGGGATAAATATATGTAAAAGTTATATAAAAAACTACTCCTATTAATCTCCAGAGTGCAGTCCCCCTTATGGCGAGATTTAAAGGTATTGGACTAAAAGAGACATATTTAATTATCAAACAAAATTAAATAAAAGAATAATTTTTATTATTATTATTATTATATATAATATAGTATAAAAAATTATTTTTACAAATGAGTTTCATAGGCCAATCTGAACTACATATTTTGCTAAAATGAGACCAATTTTATATAAATAAAATTTGACGAATCAAAATAAATTGATTTAATAAATAAACAAATCAGGTGGATTAGATTTTAAGGATTAGTTTTGTTACCCCTACATTAAAGCCTTATATGTAGCCGATTTCGGAGGGAGAATTGGACTCTCAATTGAAAAAATATCTTATTAAAAGTGGTTTAAAAATAAAATAAAATAGATGAGAAAACAGTTTATATTTGATCAATAATTTTTTTTTAAAATCAATAATTAATGTTTGACCAGCAAAAATTCTTTTGGGGAAAACCAACTTTTGTTTTAGGTTATGAAAAAATCCACTACTCACTTATTTCTATCAAAAATTTGGCCACTTTTTGGATAAAATTTGTTTGTTATAATACCAAAAATAATGGTATTATAACTAAATTCTACGTGAAGATTTTGTAACTAAATTCTACGTGGATAAAAAAAAAAGACTAAATTCTCCGTGAAGATTTTGTAACACGGCAAGTGAAAACAACCATCTAAGAAAATAAGATATTCTAATTGTATCAGATCGATATGAAAGTTTTTGCTCGTTCAATTACATTTAAAAAGAACAAAATATTTTTGTTTTGAGGTGTGTAAGGCACATAATTTTTTTCCCATTTCTTTAATAAGAGTTGCAACATATAAATTGGAGACTCAACTAGTTATCAACAAGCAGAAAATCTTATTCCTCGTGAGCATATATATATAAAATGACCACAAGTCTTGAAATTTGTCAAAATAAGATTCAATTGGTGGTGTTAAATTAGAATATTTTATGATCCCATCCCAAGATTATTAATTATTAGTAACTCTTTTTTCTGATTGTCTTTCTAGTCAATGTTTACAATTGTGCAATTTATCTTCATATTGTTTGGGATCTTTATTTTCTATTTGAAAATTGTTCAATCCTCAATGTGATGAGAGTAAAATGTTTGTGAAGCTCTTTCGGAATTAACGCCAAATACAAAAAACTGTGATGTCATGCAATACCTCAAACATGGCTTCAGTCAGAATAGATCTTAAGCCTCATGCACCAGTGTTTTTGGCAATGGCTTTCTCAGCAATAAGTTGAAAAACATTCTCGGTAAACTGTAAACAGAAATATATTTGATCTTAGCCAAGTATTTCACCATTAAAGGTTCCACAAACAATTACAACCCTAGAAAAAAGCCTAAAAGTAGTGACCACAACATCCATCAAACTCCTGAAACTGGAAACTGCCCCACAAATTCAGGTATGAGTCCATACGTAGTGAAATCATCACTTTCTACCGAGATACAGAAAGCAATGTCAAACTAATGCTTCTGATGCATTTAGCTTTTAAAATTTCACGAGAATAAAGAGTCATAAAATCACTAGATTTACAAAATAGTGATCCGGAAAAGAAAACTATGCTCAAGTCACAGGGATCTCCTCACAAAGTGTTTCATGAAATTAATTGAGTATGACAAGATAACCTTTCTGCAATTGTCTTCTCTAAACCACAGGGATGAGAACAGTGACAAGCTAATGAACAATTAATGTCCAGCTCGTTACAACTTCACAGTCTTCGTAGATTATTGCTGCAAGGCATATAAACCAGCATTTGACTCGACTTCCCACTCCCAACATAAGTGTAGTTAATTAGCTGAAGAAGTGTTGTTTCTTGTTTGTTGGATAGGCCAGTGTCCGACATCTGATTTTTCTTGAACAAACAATCTTTCCCAGTAGAGACTAGAGATTGTATTTCACCCCCAACTTAATCAAATAGATTCTAAAAAGCACAAAACTATATTACCATCCAAATAGCAAGTGGTTAGTGTTTTTCCCACTAAACTATATTACCATCCTATAATAGATCCAGTATACCTGAATAGTATCGCCACATGGATGCTTCCGTGCTCTATTATCAGGTACACTTACAATCTAAAGAAGAAATAAAGATAAACTCAGCAGGTGAGCTTATTGATCTCCGAAAAATGCTTCAAAAGAGAACACATTTGAAGTCAAGGAACTACAGATATGAATTTGAGAACACATTTACAAGAGTAATAGGCAATTTTGGAACGAACAGAAAATATTTTGCAATAAATACTCACAGTTCCTTCAAGCATCTTCGGCAGCGCCTGTTGGACGTCCTCCTCAGATACATCTCTGCCAATGTTAAGGCTCTCAGCCTATAGAGATTACGATGAGAATGATTACGTCTTTAAAGTCAATTATCCAAATTCATAAAGTAGATAATAATTTTTGGACCTGTTTAGCTATTTTATCAACTTCATCTATGTAGACAACCTCTTGCTGAGCTGCTTCGACATTGAAGTCAGCAACGTGCAAACAAACATGAACACCAAAAAATAATTGAATAACTATGCTGTTGATAGTGCAAAAGTGAACCAGATTACAAAAGAGAATCCATGTAGTCTACTTGACAATGAAACACAAGCCTTTGAAACCAATATTCAGGCACATTTCAAAAGACAGGTAAAAGTCATGTTTAGGTTCATTTTGGAATTTGGAGAAAAGTTCTACATAAGATAGCTATGTCAACACTCATGGGGTGCTCAAGTAAAATTTTAAAAGTAATACTCAAAAGCAAGTACTTCAAACTCTCAAATAAAAGGTGACATATCTCCTCCCTATAGTTGCCTCAATGTGAAGAGAAAAATGGGTGACATTTTTCCAAGCTCTTCCAGAATTAACACCAAATACAAAAAGTTGTGGTGTCATGCAATACCTCAAACAAGACTTCAGTCAGAATACTTTCTAGTATAGATCTTAAGCCTCGTTCACCAGTATTTTTGGCAATGCTTTACTCAACAATAACTCGAAGTGCATTCTCGGTAAACTGTAAATCGACCTGTAACATCAAAACAAATCGTTTCGCGGTAAATTAACTGATTTTGATCCAGTGCATCAGAATGGAGTATCATTTTTATTTTTATTTTTTTATCAAGAATGGCTTCTTCTTCTTCATCATCTCTTTCCCTTTTTTCCTGTGAATGTGTTGGGGATAAAGACAGAAAAACTTATATTTTCAGAGGAATGAAATATCATACGTTAGAGCTAAACAACACTGAGTTAAAAGTTTACATTATTCAAGTTGATTGCTTGTATTTCTTGCAAAGAGCATCTTTGGGTTCTGTGAGAGCAAAAATAAGCATCCACAATTAAAAGGAAAAAAAAGGAAGTAAGAAACAATATGAAAGGTGAAAAGCAAAAGAGAACATCAACTTCAAATATTCTCTTTCATCTTCAAGCAGCCTACATATTTTTTTTCCTTCTCCTGGTAGTCCAAAAATCATAAACAAATAATTTCTCAATGCATACAAGTTGAACCTCACAAAGACTTTTCACAACAGGTGTAAATGACTGTTTTACAAACACACTGCTTCATTTTCATAGGTTGGTTGGCTTCTCTGTCCATGTATAAAGCAACTATTGTAAGATTATTGCATTTAACTAGGTTAAGGTACTTAAAATCAGATATTTGAATAATAAGCTACAAATTCAAGAGTACTTCTGATCTAGACTATAAATGCAAAGAATCTGCAAAAATGGAGATTTATTTGAAGAAGTTCGATAATGTAAATTGTTGGCACGCGGAAGCAGCACCTCAAGCTCAAATTCTAGAGGGGTAAAGATGATTTTACTGATATCAACATGGAAAAAATGATCAAAGAAAGATAGAAAAAGCAAATATTGGAAAAGGATACTTTTAACAGAACATACTGAGTTTACTAGTCTTCCCTTCTTAATGTCAGCTAAGAGTCCACAATAGCACCTAAAAGCAAAATGAACAAACTCCCAAAGTTCCCCATCCAATCAATCGATCAAAACCACATGTAAAAGTCGGGTGTAATTCACTCTGGTTGGGCCAATTTCATTAGGACATCATCTCAACAAACACTATGAGGATTCATCATAATATGACTATTTTAAAGTTGGTCATCAACCTCCTAAGCAGGGTTGGAGTTCCCAAAAAGCCGATTAAATCATGAAAACGTGAAACTAGAAACTACATTGCAAAAAGGCAAAAAGAGTAGACAAACGTGAACAAGATGATCCTCATCCAGTGAAGATAAACTCACTAAAACTAGAAACCGCCTCACAAATTCAGATATGAGTCCATATGCAGTGAGATCATCACTTGACCTCCCCCCCTCCCAACATGTGTGTAGTCTAGCTGAAGACGTTCTGTTTCTTGCCGTTGAATAGGTCAGTGTCTGACATCTGATTTTCCTTGGCCAAACATTCTTTCCTCGTAGAGATTTGTTTTCCACCCCCAACTTAATCCAATTGATTCTAAAAAGCACTAAACTCTATTACCATCCAAATAGCAAGTGGTAAGCTTTTTTCCCACAAAATTATTAGCCTGCAATTAATTTTTTTTAAAAGCAGATAAAATAGGCATTAAATAGAATTCAGTATACCTGAATAGTATTGCCACGTGGATGTTTACGTTCTCTTCATGTACACTTACAATCTGAAGAAGAAATTAAGATAAACACAGCAAGTGAGATTATTGATAGGAATTTGTAAACATATGTACAAGAGTAATAGGCAATTGGAACGAACAGATGAATACACTAGAAGGGAAATGGTGCATCCCTGAATCCCTCAAAGAGCTAATGTTATATTGGAACAGATGAGGCCTCCACAAAGCTGCAAAGCCCCTCTGGTACTCCATACAATAACCAAAGTAGTGACCAAAACATACATTAGACAACTTTCTTCACTAAAGAAAAGACCGTTACCTCCTGTATTCAGATTAGCAAACCAGAAATAATAAAAGTTGAAAAGAAAAACACAAAGAACTATCCGAGTCCATAGAACCCACTGTGTGTCCTTAAGAAATTTAATCCCCTCAAGTACCCGAGGTTGTAGATTAATTCCTCCCAAGATAAAACGGATTAACCATTAAAGAAGTAGCGGTACCTCAAACTTCGATAATTTCAACGAACTCAAAATGACAGCAACGAATTACACACACAGACACGATCGATCGATTTTGTTTTGTAAGAAATGTATGCAAAAGAAGGGAAGAATTCGAT